AAACCAAGAAGTGTGGTTCCTGCAACTCTTTAGCTGTATCCTGGCTGAGACTGCCATTGCTGACAGTAGCACCTTAACCTTCTGTAGTCAGAACGTTCTTATTGTAGAAGGAAATTGTGTCCTTCCCTCCTCCCATGACACACAGGTATTACTGAATGTAACCAAGTCCCTGGCAGGACTGATTAGCCTGTAATCAAGAATGTCTCATTTTGTTAGATAGGCAATTCATATTGCCTGAGAAGACAGCAAGTTCCTTGGAACAGCTTGAGGTAAAGTGGCATCTATTAACTAGCACCTCTCTGCACTACTTAAACATCACTCGCAATAATTACAGTGTGTCTACCCTATGAAATGGAGTGGTGGTGTGGCTCGTTCTTATCTCCACTATACTTGTCCTGTAGGCAGACCCACTGGCCAGTTGTCTCACTGACTGGTTCTTCAGGTTACCAGAGCTATCTGAGCAAAGATGCCAGAGATCACCCAGCAAAACAAGGAGATAACAGGCTGGATGTGAGTGTGAGTTCCTGGGTTTGTCCTGGGTCTGTGTTTAGCTTTGGTCCAGATGTGACTGTGAGCAGCAAGTTTTAGGAGGGACATTTCTAACCAGTGATATCAATCAATGTGTGGGACCGATGACGTCTTTGGTATGCCCCTTCTCAAGTGTTTTGTGCATGTGTGCGTGCGTACACCCATAACCAGAGGGTTTAATTCTACTAAAATTGTAAATACATATAAACCTGAGATGCTTCTTGCTGAATAGCAAATGTCATTCAACTTCATGGTTCTACTTCAGTCAGTCAGTCACCAGTCATACAATATGTACCAGTCCGTGATGCCAAAAAATGTCTGCAGTCATAGTCAGCCTATTACCTTCCCTTACTGTAAAATATTATTCTACTTTTTTAAAAACAAACAAACAAACAAACAAACAAACAAACAAACCAAAACCAAAATCAAAACTAAACCCCCTCTCTTTGCATTTAGTATTCCTAAAATGGAAATCATTTAACAAAGCCACTGTGGACTGTTAATTTTTCTCTCTTTCCACCTACATACAGATTAAAATCTCATATATCTGATCAGCTGTCCTCCACATTTCCTTGCATTATTACAGCAATTATTTATCTTGTGTTTGTGGTATTGTCCATAAGGAACTAAGAGTTTCTCCAACCTCTAGATAAGAAGCTCCCAAAGAAAGAATTGAGAGGCTGAGGTATAGAAAACAACAAGGGGGGCTTTCTAATTGTATGCAGGTGACTCAAAAACAGTAGTACAGTAGAAATCAGTGGAAAATACACAGACTGGAGAAAGCAAGGGACTGGTAGCTGAGTTCAAGGAGGTGAGTCAGTGAGAAAAACTTATGTGGGAAAAAATGCTTAGTATGTAAATGAAAAATTAAAATGATGGGAGAAGTCAAGTGAAGGACAGTAGGAAGCTGATATAAGTTAGGACAAAGGTGGGTAATAAATACGTTGCAACAGTGTCTGAGGAGTCAGAACAGCAATGCAAAGAGGAAAATTACATTAACAGATTGATGGGAAAGAAAGAAGATTTTGGTGGTGACATTTTGTATTTATATATTAGTAGAATAGGTGGTATTCCATGTGATATATAAGGAGAGAAAACCATGAAACTTCAAGATGCTTTTGAGGTAAAAGCATCAGAGCATTGCTAAAAGGTGACAGAGGTCTTTTCTGAAGTTAAAAAATATGAGACTACAGTTTAATGGAGAAAAGGTTATAAACATAGGAAGATCTATTAAATGTTAGACATTATGTGGAATGGGAATAGCAATCTGTATTTCCTATGTTGGAAATAGCTGCCAATCAACTGTTTAGTGTGAGGTCTGCGATATTTCCTTAGGAACTTCTAGCACTGCAAAGTATGAAGAGCCATCTGAGAGCAAAATAGCACTGTGGGGGTTTCTTGGGGTGGGGGGATTAGGCACAATAAGGATCATGAAACAAAGCTGATCACTCAGAGTATGTTAGTAGAAATCGTGGTTTGGGGGGAAGATTTCTGGCTGTACAAAACAACATCCGTTACCCTTTTGTGCCTCTGAAAATTTACTACTCTTCAGGTGTTAAATCGTCACCATCCTCATCTTGATCAGACCTTCTGTCTTCCAGACTGAATGAGAAATACTCACCCAACAAGCTCACAATCCTGCAAGCAAACCCTCAGAATACTGTGCCCAGGCCACTCTCTGAAGAAACAGGACTACAACACAAATCTTGTGGTGGAAAGGACCCCAGGTGTTGTAGAGAATATGCATGCTCTGTGCTTAAAATGTTTTTGTTAATTCTCAATTTGCAAAACTTTTCTGTTGTATTTTTGTATTTAATTATCATCAACTGCCTGGTAGTGGACTGAGATATCATGAATGTGGCATGCTGCCCATTTTGAAGATTCTAGTTGGTAAGACTGCTGCAGGAGAGCAGTAAATACACGGCGCGAGAAACATTGTACTTCCTGCAATAACAATTACTATGTGTGTTTAACGAATCTGAAGGAAACCATTCACTGTGCAGCCTTGTTAGATGCTTCCCACAATAACCCTGATAGCAATGGAAAAGTTTCTTTAGTAGATTTAATCTGAGATAAGATTTAGCTGGTAACAAATTAGACAACTGTAAGGCCAATTGTTGGTCGGGTTTGGTTTTGTGTTTTTTTTTGTTTGTTTGTTTGTTTCGGTTTGGTTTTGTTTGTTTGTGGGGGGGGTTGTTTGTGGGGGTTTTTTTGTTTGCTTTTTTGGGGCGGGGGGGGGGGGGTTTGTTGCTATACATTGCTGTGCCTTATATCCTTTACAACCCACTTTGGCTCATCCAAAATTCCCAGTGATGTCAGTGGAAATAATGCAAGAAATGGATTGTAAAATCTGTCTCCTCAGGCAAGTGCCTCGGTGTATATCTGCAGCTATCCCTTAACAGATCTGCTCGAAGTATCTCTCGCCTTGGTAAGCATCACTGGGACAGTGGGGGTCTCTTCAGACTACCCACTGCTGCTACCCCAACAAGAAACTTGCTGCATGTGAGAGGAGGCTGCCAGCAGTGAGCTCAGTGCTGCCGTGACTATACCACTAGTAATTCTCAAGGATGTCAGCCATAAAAGGATCATCACAACATCTTCTAAGTCCTGAAATTGCCGCCAACAGCTCCCGGGAGTGACGGTCCTCAGCGGAACATTGGTCCTTTTGCCTCAAAGTGTACGGACGCACGTACCTGTGGCAAGCTGCTGTGTTCCCTTCAGTTAATGAGCTTCTGCTTTTTAGCAGGGTGGTCGGTGAAGCTCTCCCTGCCTGTATTTCCCAGTCTCACTGAGGCAGAGCTCTGGGATTTCCCGGAGAAAAGTGCTAACTGCTAAGGATATGGGGGCACCCATATCCTTGTGGATATTTTTTTTTTCTTTTCTTTCTTCCTTTTTAATGCTGGGGTGTGATTCTACAGATCAAATGCTCTTGTTTCCCTGTATGCAAACCTGCTGGAAGATGTTGGGGTATTCTTGTATAAATAAGAGGATAATTTGGCCCTGGGTTTCAATGCTGTCAGATCCATAAAGTCTGCTTTTAAGTTGTCGTAAAAGGAGGGTTCTGCATTTCTGTAAAGATGCTGTGAGAAAAATAAATAAATAAATAAATAAATTGAGAAGCACTGGGTATACCTGGTTCATCTCGAGAGTACTCAGGTATTATCCCAGCTTGTGAAGCATGCAGCAATCACGTCTGCACAGCTTCTCTGAGGGAAGGACTGCCCGAAATAAATCCCCAGGTACAGTTGCCATATCTGTTCTAAAGGAAGCCCAGTTTAGAATTGGAGACTTCACTTTGCTGTACAATATAAACTTTTAGTAAGTAATAGATGATTTCTGTTCCGAAGAGCTTGCATTACAAAGGCCCTGATCTTTCCAATGCTTACATGCTTGCTTAACTCTGCATCTCTGAATCGTCCCTTCTAAATCAATGAGATTACTCACGTGCATAAAGTTATGCCTGAGTTTTTTGTAATATGAGAGCACAAATGAAGATAGGATGTGAGAAAGGAAGTATTATTATCCTCATCTTGCAGATGAGGAACTGAGGCACAGCAGAAATGAGATCCTGGTCCTCCGCAGTAGTGCATAGGCGCTTAATTCTTAAGCATATGAGTAATTTCCGTCAGGTTCACCGTGCCCTCTGGACTGGAGCGTAAGGTCTGAATTTCAGTGACCGCCTCTGCCACCGATTTTAAGTAAGTTACCTAAATTCTGATCCTGCGGGGATAAATCCAAGCGCTGAAAAACCGTGGGACACTTTTTGCAGGGGATGGGAACGGCCCGGCTGAGGCAAGGGGGGGCGGGGGGGTGTGTGTGTGTGTGCCCTGGCCGCTCTAGCCCCAGCAGTGAGGCGTTACAGGTGGATGCCTGCATCTGCCAGCCCGGGACACCCAGCCGCGCCGGGCGAGCCTGAGCCCGAGCCCGAGCCCGAGCCCGAGCCCGAGCCCGAGCAGCGCCCGGCGGGGCGGCGCGGAGCCCGCCCGCCCCCGCGCCCTCAGCCCGCCGGGACGCCCGGCTCGGCCTCCCCTCTCCAGGTAAAACCCGCTCCGCGGGGCCGCTCACCCCCCCCCCCCCCCCGCGTCCTGCGGGGCGGGGGCAGCGGCGTGCGCGGGTGCGGAGCGGGCGGGGGCGGCGGGGGAGGGACCGGGCGCGGAGCCACCGCCCGCGGGGGCAGCGTCGGCACATGGAGCGGCGCCGCGTCGCGCCGCCACCACTGCCGCCCGCCCCGGCCCCGGCCCCGGCCCCGGCGTAGCAGGTACCGCGGGGCGGGGGGGTCCCGGGCGGGCCCCGGCCCCGGCGCCGGGGGTGAGGAGGGGCCGGCGCTGCCGGGGAGAAGTTGCCGGGAGCGCAAAGTGGGAGACCGCGGAGCCCAACAGGCAGGTCCTCCCACCCCACCCCACCCCATCCCATCCCATCCCATCCATTCTTCCCTTCCTCCCTGTCCCACCCGCTTGCTTGTTTTTTCCTTTTTTTTTTTTTTTTTTTTTTTTTTTTTTTAATTTTAAAACATCGCGCCGCAGTTCGGGTGTATTCCAGGCTTTTTGGAGCGCTCCTTTCAAATTTCAGCGATGACTAGCCCCAGGGAGCCGGCCGAGAAGGGGTGTTCACTGAGTCGTGCGAGGGGAGGGGGCGGTGGAAGCCGTACCCCCGCGCAGGAGCGGGCGCGCACCGGGCTGTTCTCGCCGCCCCGAGCCAGCGGCCGCGCTCCGGGTCGTGCCGAGCCCGAGGTCGGATTTGTTTGCGCCTGTAGTTTGCACAGGGGAGGCAGGTGTGGAGGTTGTAAAGGCCGTTAGGAACTTGTAAAATTAGCAGCCCCTGCGCGCTTGAGGGGAACGGCGTTAGAGAAGTTTGCTGACTCCGAATAGCGGTGCCACCAGAAGTTTTCCTCCTTGCGATACAGCCTGTCACAGCCGGAGGTTTTCTTTCACTCTGCTCTGCAAAGTTACCCTCTCTGTGAAGGGACGGTTTTGCTCTGTAGTCTTTACTAAAGAAGATGTGCGTAGTTAGAAACTGAGCGTGTGAAGAAACGACTTCCCACTGCCGCGGTCGATTCGAAGGGAGCTTTTAATTTTGTGCTTCAAGAAAGCTCATTACTCCTTGGATTACTTTTCTACCTTGGTCTAGAAGGTATGGTAATGCTGCCAGATGTTGTGCAAAGTATTCTGCTTTCAAAGTTGTTAAAAGTTAATAATACTGCGTCAGAAAAAAAAATGTAGTTTATGATTGCAAATTATCTCAAAAAAGTGATGTTTTGTGTAACGCAAAATTTTTAGTCCAGTATGGCCACTGGCTTAAACTATTTAAAATTTTGTAGAGGAATAGAATGTTGTTTAAAAATTTTCTTTTTTTCCTTTTTTTTTTTTTTTCTTGCACTGAATCTGCATGCACATACCAAGTGCAAGTGATGCTTTCAGAGGGCTTTGTGTGGATTCAGAAGTTAGAATGAGAGCTTCCTGACTGGGTATTTTTCTTTTCAATAGCTAGATCCTACTAGGGTTACATCCACATGCATTTACCGTCCATCCATCCAACAAACACCCAAATGAAATAAGCCAGGTATCGAATCCTGATGATATATTTCATGCATTCACCTTAACAACCCATTTGCTAGACTTTAATAGTCTGGTTTTAAAATTGGAAGCTGTAATGCATTGTAAGGGCCAAACCCTTTAAAAGACGCACCCTGTTAGCTTCAGTTGACTGCTCACATCAATTGTAACTCACACACATACTGGAGTACCATGTAGTATGACTCTCTATTAAACATAAATGATCATTGAAATGTAAAGGAAAAGCATATTCATATATTGCACTTATTTCTAAGTACTAAAATTCCTTCCAAATGCTTGGAAAGACTTTATCTGAATCAATTAAGCAGGGGCATGTTCTGAGGGGCTTGAGGCACTGCGCTCTCGCCTTGCTTATGAATGACATAGTTGAAAGTGTTCAGAGTCTTAGTGAAATAGAAAAATTAAAGGTGGGATGGCTTTCTTATATGGAAATGTAGTTGCTTCTGAATTTTCAGAACCAAATTTTTGCCCTAGAGTAACTTTGTTCATTCTTCTTTCTCTTCTCTAATAAGGGAAATTGCAAGTCAAAAAAAGTGAGAATGGATTTGTTTGTGTCACCATGAAAGCACCCAGTATTCCTCTTTGTGGGTTAATATCACAGCAGCATACAGCAATTCATACTATGTCCCTTTTCCAAAAGGTGTCATTGCTCACAGGCAGAAGCTTCTTTCTAATATTGACCCTCTGCTTTGACCTTAACTCAGAAATGTTCATTTTAAAACTGAAGAAAAAATACAGGATATACTGCATATGCTGCCATATGCCCCCACCCCCTCAAGGTACCTCAATCCTTAGCAAAGCTCTACCAAGTTTTAGTTTGATGTCTGTATGTCTTGTTCCTTTATCAGAGCCTTTGAAACTGCTACATGTGGAGATGAGAAACTAAGTGTAGACCAAGTACAAGACCAAGAACTCTTAAAATGATAGCTCTCCTTAGCAGAATTGCATGGGGGAAGTGTCCAAAATACTGCAGAGCTCTGCACTTTCCTTAGTTCATGTTTCTATTATCCCAGACTCGCTTCCAACCTTAAAGATTTTTCTCACGAATATTAATACTGGTGACTATCTGTGTGCTCTTTTTCTTGTCTTTTTTTTTTTTTGTTGTTGTTATTGTTTAATGAGTTAAGTAGCCTAAACTCAGAACTTGGTGTACTGCAAGTTTATAAAAATAAAAAAGAAATAGAAATTATAACCCTAATGGTAATGTAAATTAAGATTAAAAGCCAAGGAGAAGGCAGGTTTATCCACCAAGTGAGAAGACCGACCAGAAGTCAATGGGAAGTCCAACACTGGACATCCTTGGGAGCCAGGATTTCAAACCTAATGCACTGATACCTGCAAGAGTCCTCTACCTCCCGGGTCCAGCTTCCAGGGGAAGCAACAGGAACACAGAGGCAAAATGTGGAGTTGTATTGACTGTCCTAATTCAGTCAGAAAGGACAGGTGGACTGTGGTAATTAAAGAGGGGTCACTAATCTCTTTGGCCCAACATAATGATGGGAAGACAGGGCAGAGGACTCTTGTTTCTTTGCCCTTCGTGCTCCCAGTAACCGGAGCAGCTTAGATGCTGATCCTGTGTGCATCATTTACCCCAGCTGAGTACTTCTCAGGGGGGCTGCCCAACTCCAAGTAAGCAAAGTGAGTTGGTATATTTTCAGCAGGTCCCATAGTCAGGAGTTGCAGCAGGGAGACAAGCTTGTCATTCACCTCTGGCTTTCCGCCTCGGCTCCCGGCTGCCCCTGCTCACTGCGGGAATGGTCTGGTTCCGTGTATCCTCCTGTGAGCATGAATGACAACTTGGTTGTTTGTGTTACATGCAGCGTGCAATAAAAAATGCAATAGTCTCCATCTCGGTGTTACTGTAGCAGTTTTCCTCTCCCCTGTGGACCGCAATACCAAAAACCTGGTCTGCTTGCCACTTCTACTGCATAGCAATGCAGAAATGTAAGTGGAGAATCAATCCACAGAGTTTTACAACAACGCAAAACTTGATTCTCATCATTAAAATTGGATAACTCCAAAATGAAGCCAAAAACTTTTCCAGATATATTTTATTTGAGCTTAGGTACTTCTTGCACTAATGCCACAATCTTGCAGAAAACAAAGAAACGGGACCAGTCTGTATTTCAGCAACAGAAAACAGGGGCATAATGGATTGTATGCTGTTCTGGCAGATCATTTTTGGCAATGTTTTCATAAAAAGTCCAGAGGACATCTAAAGTCATGGATCACAGCCTAATTGTGTGGCTCTTTGTCAGGAAAAACTTCCACTGAAGACTTGTGGGATTTTTTTTTTTTTTTTCCTCATGTTTTATGTGCAAGAAGAGCTGGGTCCATAGTGAATTTTATTGTTTTTCAGTCAAGATCCACATATGTACTTGATTACATTTTGAACAGTCATTACTTTCTACTATTATTAAAAGTAATAGAATTAGACCAAAGAAAACATAGTAAAGTAGTAAAATACAGTGTGGCAATAATGGGATCTTTGGAAAACTTGTCATCCTTATGAGCGTAAGGCGGGATGCGCTGCTGGCACTGTAGCGGACTCCACCGGAATTCCCCCCTCAAGCGACAAACCCTACTTTTCTAGGAAGTATAAAATCACACAGAAAGAAAGGTTTGAGAATGATTTTTTTTTTTTTTTTTTTTTTTTTTCTACTCAGAATCCTTCCAAGAAAAAGAAAGAAAGGGGAGGGGAGGAGGCTGTGCTCCTGGACAAGCACCGTTGGGTTAAATGCAGTTGCTAGATACGATCAGAAGGATACTGGGAATACATTATATCAGTTGTGGAGTGGAAGGTAAGGGCTCTCATCAGTTTTTCTGGGACTATGTTTCTTTGGGAGGCATTTTTAAACACTTGCAACTCATTGCAGGAGTCAAAAGAGGAAAGACCTATTCCTCACTGTTAATTTTTTCTATAATCTGAAGATAATTTGTTTTCTTCCACTGGAGGGAAACAGCATTTAGAGACAAGTGTGAACTCCATCTGGGGCGAGATAAGCAGCCTCGGTCTTGTCAGCTTTATGGCAGCTTTTAAACAGGAGTCTGAATACCTTCCACTCACCCAAAGTAGCTGCCGGAGTTTTATCTCCCTAGTGGCTATCCAGCAAAAAGGACTGACTTCAGCTGGGAATCTCCCTGCTTCTGAGGTCAACTGTGGTTTATTGTCTTTATGTCTGTAATCTATATGTAAACATAACTACAACTCGGAGTCAACAAGAGTTTTGTTTGCTCCCTAAATTTAAACAGAATTATGTTAGCCCCAGAGGGTATGTTTATGATGCATCTTTATTAAAAGCCCAGCAGGTTCTGTCTCACCCTTTTCCTTTAAGACACACCTTCCTCCATGCTTTAAGTTGCTGAACAAGAAGAGATTTTTTTGTTGTTTTTTGGGTTTGGGTTTTTTTTTTTTTTTTTGCACTGAGCAGGTCACTACCAACACAGTGTGGTGACTGCAAAGGTAGGTCCTAGTCCTGAAAAGATAACATGCATGTTCTTGGCTTTGGTGGTACCATTGCAAATTCATGGCAACAGGACAGCGCAGTTTTGGGACCTGCGTGGCACGGTCGTGCTTCTTGTATAAATGCCTGAAAAGGCCATTCAGATTGCAGTTTTTGAGGAGCAGTCACACTGAAATTGTCACATTTTTTTAAGCAATGGGAACTGTCCGCTTCTTTAAGCTTATTTTGAAGTGTATTTCATGTGAAAGATTTACATTTCTTCTTCTGACCCCAGTTGTTCTAGCTTTCTCAGTAAAAGAGAAACTTGCTCTGTAAGATAGATCTGATTCCCCACTGCATTGCTTCATTTTTCCGCCTGTGTCAACTCACTGAGAACAGTGGAGCAATTGCAATATAAAGCTGGAATCGTCTGTAGTGGATTTGGTCCTAAATATCTGCAAAAGCAGAGTGAGTTAACTGAAACATGTAGTGTGGAGAAACTTGTTAATTCATTTCAATTATAGTAATTTTAAGAGTTATTTTTAGGGGGAAAAAAATCACACAGATCTCTAATATGTTTGTTCAGGCTGATAATGTCCTTTAATAATCCGTAACAGCTTGAACAGTTTGAAGGGAAATTAGGAAGCAATTCTGTGATCATGAAGCAGAGTTGTTGAAACCTCCTATAATTTGGACAGATCGATTACTGATATATTGTTGGGGATACTTGGCAATAATGTTTCTAGACATAAAGGGATCCTTTTATGTTTGCTCTATTGCATATTTAAATATGCTGTGCTAAGGACATCCTACTCTTTTTAAATCAAATATATATATATGGATACAAAAGTACAGTTTTGCATCTGCTGCTTGTCTTACTCTCTCTTGTGTTAGAGCCCTGGAAGAATATCCAAAAGCTCAATTTGGCCACTTGAGAATGTGCTATGTTCTTAGATTGAGTGCCTTAATTTACACACCTCACTTTCTTTTTAGTCAGTTTATTTACAAGATGGAAATGTGTTCATTTTCTTTGCCATGGTGAATTTATTCCACTTTTCTGCTTGATTTTTAGTGACTAAAGGTGACAGAGTTTAATGAGTTAATAAAATGCGGCCTTAATTAGGAAAATTACCTTCATATTCTTCTCATATTGTGGAGACAATTTATAATGACTCTGGTTGCGATTCAAAAACTTGAAGAAAGAACCTTTTTCACATTTGCAATGATATCAAGTCCAGTAATTTGCACACAAAGTCAATAAAAGAATGGATTTTTTTTCTATTACCACCTTTAACGGTTAATTGTTACATGAACATAGCTCAAAGACAGTAGAATGCTAAGAACAGTGCATGTGGAAAGCACGTATGTGCATACAAGATGCACTTTTTATCATTTGTCAGTGCTTTGAAGAATTCCCAAAGAACTGAGAATTATGTAGGATCTTTGAGACAACTTTTTTTACACCCTCACAATTGTTCACTAACATAGAAATTAATTTTACATGTGCCAGACATATAAATGTTTTGCATCTGCAGTGTTAGCAGAGTTCTTTTCTTAATCTTGTGTGTTGAATTACAGTGCTTCCTTCGTTTTGCAGACAGAAGCTCTCCATTGAAATTTGACTGTATGCTCATAATTGTATTGTCAATTCATGTAGTTAACCAGAATTTACACTAGGCAGGAATAGAGAAACGACTGAATAAACTAAACATCTCCCTAGACTTTGTAGAAAATGCTGAATATGGGAGTAGTGTAGAGGGAGAGAAATGGATCCACTTAGTTTTAACCTTTTTTATGTTTTAATGCAGTCCTTTAAAGACCTGGAGAGTTGTGGGGTTTTTTTAAACAGAAATGGAGAGACACTGAAATGTGACTCTTAGTTCTGAGTTTTCAGAAAGGACCACCCCTCATCTTTGTAGTTATTATTTACATTGAGCTGTGTGATGAGGTGGAAATTAAAAATAGAATTAAAATGGTTCTAAAGTAGAGTCATTCACAGAGATTGTTAAGTCTAGCATATTAAATTACAATAATAAAGCTAATTATCAGCTGCTTGCTGAGATATTGGACGCTTTTAATTAAAACTAGGATTCTAGCAATTTTCTTTAAGCATTTCCACTGGTTGTGCAATACGTACTACCTTTTACCCTTGTTTAACAGCCTTCCTGTTGTGTGTTCAGTCGTATGTGGCACATCCATATGTAAAGTTAAAAGTCTATTAAAAAAAAAAAAAAAGATTAGGTCTTTTGTTTAAAAGGAAACTAAATGCTACGTACTTTTAAAGGAGTGTCTGTCTTCATCTCCTCTCTTGGTTATTGGTTCAAACTCATTGACTTCAGTGGATGCAGGAGGCTTGGTTCTGCTAGGTTGAGACCCTCTGGTGAAATTAGAAGTGCAGCTGCATTATCATTCGGCAGGTAGATGCAACTCCCAACTTAAAACTAAAAAAAATTGATGACACATACATGATGATGCATATCACTCCTAACCTGTTGTTAATGTGCAAATTCTTCTGACAGGTATGTGAGGGGCTATAGGTGTTCAACTGCTCTGTGTTTTTTGGGCTGCAGCTGGTTTTGCTCTATTGATTTATGTATTAAACTCCTCTTTATGTATGTCGTGGGTGGTTGAATCTAGGACCCATTTTAGGAGCTTTGCTTCAATTTAGGTTGTGAAGTGGGTCGCGATTTTATGTTTGTGGTTGTTGGTTTGGACTTTTAGTTTGCTAAAGCTGCGTCCCGTGTGATACAGAGCCACTGAGACACGTCGAAGACTGCAGAGACGAGACGTGCTCGCCCAGGAGCCCTGCGTTAGGGCCAGCCGCTCCGGTGACCTGTGCGAGCGGTCCCTTTTCCTGCCGCAAGGCTGCTTGCACAAGCCAGCGGTTGTGAAATCCGCCCTTTCCCCGTGGTGGCTGTGGAAGCAAGTCTGGGGTTTGCCTCTTCGCTTGCTTGTTTTATCACAGTTAACCCAGACCTACTGTCGCTGAGGAACGTGTGTTCCCCTCTCTTTTTGTATTTGCAAAAGCACCTGCAGAACACCAGCTCCCTTGTAGGAGGTTTCTTCTCCCCTACTCCAGACTTCATGATCGCTCATATTTTCTGCTCTGAGGCTTCATGGAAAAGTGTATGTGCCCCCACAGGGTGCACTCAAGACAGAAGTGTTCCTTCAGGGACCTTTCTGTCTGCTCAGCAAGGCTCCATCTACAAATGGTCAGGAAACATGCAGCTGGACATGGCATAGATTTGTGGACTCCTTGCAGCACTAGAAGTAGAGCTGTGTGTGGATGGAAGGACAGCTCTGAGTTTAGGTGTGCTGGTGTAAGTTCAATGTCAAAATTTGTGATTTAATTTCCATACCATAAGTGAGGTCCCGTTGTGCTGAATGTGAAGCACGCGTTGTCCCAGAGAAGTCAGTACATACGTAGCTTGGGAAACACAAAAACAAAATAGCTAGTCTTTGGAATTGGGTTAAGTCATTCCATTGAATTATATCAATGGCCCAATCGTGCAATCTTTTTATATCCTAAGAGAGCAGGTTTTGTAGAAGGACTGACATGCTTACACATTTGTTCAAACTGATAAAACTGTATAAATGCTAAGTATTAATTTTCTTGACAAGGTTTACTTTTGAATTTGCATTGTAAAACAGGAGATGAAATAATAAACCAAGACTTGCAAATAATTAATTTGCTGTATTCTGGAAGATTAGAAAATCTTGACCTTGCAATGACTTCTTCCTATTCACACCCAGAATCCTAAAAGATCCCAGATCCACTTCTGGTTGTAATTGATACCAGGTATAAATGGAGCAGTTCCTCAGTGATTCACAGGACCTATTTTGATATATTCTTAAGACATAGCACAAGTCATATTGTAGAGAGAGTTTCAAGGAGGAAAATCAGTCACATAAATTTTCTTTGGGCTCAAGATGGTAAGATGGACAAATGCCAACTAATTTAAATCCAAAGTTCCTGTGTGAGTATGGTCAGTTAGGTGCTTCCTTATTCAAAACAAAATCAACATAGCCTTTCAGACTTTTTGTGTGTTTATTATTAATTAGCTTAAGATTGCCCCATTTGATTCTTTTTCCAAAGCATTGTGATAGCTTCATCGGTGAATCTAGTATTTGGAGTCTGAAGAGGAAAATGTACAGTTTTAGAGTTCTGTAGCTGAAAAGACTTGAAGAAATAGTTTTAGCTCTTTTGAAGGGAGCTCTGTAGCTCTTTCAATAAGGGACCAAACTTTTAAGCTATTTGGATTGCTAAAGAGAAGAAATATCTATTATCACGTAGGTGCTGATTCCCTTTTATACTAGCTATAAATGAGAGCTACACGTGTTTAGCATTTGAGAGCAAGATTGCTTCGGTCAGCTGCCCACCCAGCTTTTGATTTCTAAATTCAGGCTCCTCAATCAGCTGCTAACCTAAAGAGATGTGACTGCATTGAATACAGTGAAGTCATGCATACTTCTTATGCCAGTGATAAAGTTGATTCTGTAGGTAAAATTTACAATGAAAAATTGCAAAACAATTCTTTTTCTTGCCAAAGCAGACAGTTATTGAGGGTTTCATGTCAAACATTTTTAAAACAGTGTTCTTTTAAATAAATCTTTGTGAAGATCTATTAATTTACAGATTGATATCAAGTTGATAGTTTGGTGCAAATCCTTATATCCATACATAGGGCTCTCTTGCTTTCCAGGAAGTCAGACAGCATTTCTCTTGATTCTAGAGCAGAGGAGGAAGGGGAGGAAAAGCAGGGCATAGTTTCTTATTCATAGGTTTACCATACCAAAGGCAAAGAGGTAAATTCCGCTCTTAGCACTTAAAATTCAGCCCCAGACACATTGTGCCCAAGACCAGTGTGAAAAACCTTTAACAGTCACAGAGCCAAACCCAATGCAATGCTGTCACTGCAGAGTCGGTATGTGTGTGTATGTGTGTCCTGTCATGTAGTCTTTGCTGTTACAGAGCCTAAGCTGAAGTTAGCTGGGATTTCATTAGTATTTAATTGATACCACAGGATACTATAGTGTTTGAGTACAATCTTCCCCTGGGAGGGATTCAAAACACCCTGTAGGATTTTTTAAAGTTCTTTTTTTTTGCTTTTATCAATGTGCTTAGTGCTTGTGAGTCTTAATCTACATTTAGGAACCATGCTTAATTGTTCTAAGTAATCATTAGGGAAAAAAAAAAAATCTTTCCCTCATCACTTTTCCACAAGCTCTATTTTCTCTCCATGTTTTATCCCCAGGAAATGGATCAGCTTTGCCAAACATCCTAAAATTGCCTAATTCAAGGATAAACTCTGAAGTCATCAGTTTGAGAACTGAGGGCATCTGTTTCAGGGCAGGCAGTTATCCAACCTCACAGAAAGCAAGCCTAGGAGTATTTCACTAAAACAAACGGTACTCCAGTTTGCCTCCATTAAAAAAAAACAAAAACAAAAACAAAACAAAACAAACAAACAAAAAACAAACAAACAAACAAAAAAAACCAACCCAAAACCAAAACAATCTGTACTTTAGTTTACCTCTCCATTTAAGAATTGAGAAGTGTTTTCAAACTGAATATTGCCTGACGGCAGCAAGAGGCAGGAAGGAGTACAGCTGAGAAGTGTGCTGCTTAAGTTGCAGAAATGCTGAATGTAAGGCTTGTCATGCCAAAGGCAGGTAAATTCAGGACTACGAAAATAGAAGACGTTTTCTCCCTTGCCACCTCCTCCCCTTGTCGCTCCCAGCCCTGCTGAAGCTCTAGCAATAGGGAGAAGGCAGGTGCAGTCAGAATAAAGTGCCCTTCGTGAGTGTGGCTCCCTTCTGGTGGGTATTTTCTTGGGATGTTTTCTTTAGCTGGATGGGGTTCACTATACTCTGTGGAAAAATGTGTGGTAATCAACATTAATAGTAGCCAGGTGACCCTCCAAGGCACTAATAGATCCACGGGCACTTCTTTTTTTCTTTGTGTTCAGTCTGTTTGCAGGCGAAGTGAGGGACTATACCAAATACTTGTGCCATATCATCTGCCACAAATACACCACATTTCCAGTAACTGAGCAGGCTACCATTATAGGGTTTTCCCACCTGCAAGAGAAGCTGCATTTCCCACTGACCACTTCATTAAAAAGGGCCCTATTGAAAGCTCTTCAGTCCCATAGGAACTGATGCAAATTGTTGAGGGGTAGTTGGCTTTTCTCATTTTGCATGGCTGTAGTAATTTCTGAGAACTATATATAGACATTAAACAAATTGCTTGTCTGAAATTAAAGTTTCAGAGCAGAATAAAGCAAGAAAATAATCGGATATTAAGCAGTGCAATGGTACATGTGCAACGGGTAGAATGCTCTGCGAGAATACCAAAGTTTTTTTGCAAACTGCATAGACCAAAATCTGTTCCCCAACCTATCTGTCTGCAGTCATGCAGTCTACATGCTCTCTTTTTGCAAGCCTAGCATGGACCTGGTGAGGGAATCCAGCTTTTGCAAGGGAGGAGCATCAGTATATTGAATCTCAGATGTACTGATGACATTCAGAAACAAGTGAGGAGACCATAAAACTTATGAAATTAATAAATCTGACCACAGGTATTATGCTTTCCCACTGCAGCTTGTTGGGTAGCAGGTTGAAGATTTTTTGAGGAAAGAAATAAATAAATATGTGGAAGTTGGGCTAAAAAGGTTAGGATAAGGTTTGAACCTTTTCTGTAGGAACTCATGCCACATCCTCTGCTTCCAACTATCGAGAAAATGCATCTCACTTAATTCCAGGAAACAGGGTTGATGGGGCAGGTATCTTGGTTATAAGGAACAGCAAAGAGCTGGCTCCTTGGCTCGGTGGGACGTGAAGCCAGCCACGCCAGCTGAAGACGTGACCTAGCATACCACGTAGGCTTTGTGTCACCTCCCCACCCGAGGCTACCTCAGCTGCCCACGCCATATTTCCAGGTGGGGACCAGGTTGTGCTGAGACTACCTGTTCCAGCAGCACATCTATTATCCAAAGGGCCACCAGCTGTCCGCAGTCAGCGCTCGAGCCCTGGGACCTGCAGGGTCCTTCCGACGGAAAACCTGATTTTTGTTTCTACCCCACTAACCCTCCGCACACTTCTCCCTGGTGCTTGTGGTCACTGGTTGCCGGCTCCTCGGAAGATGGTGTGTTGCAAGCGGAGGGCAGGAGCTTCCCGGTACCGCTTGCCATGCCGTGGAGCCAGCCATCTGTCAGCAAAACAGGAAGGCACGGGTTCCCTTTCCCTCCTGGGCTTGTTTCGCTATTTTCGGGAGCTGTACTTCTCCCCCGCGCGGCACCAGGCCGGTGTGGCCTGAAGGAAGGGCTCCCGGGCGCGCGAGGGGCCAAAGCCTGAAGCTGCTGCTCTGCCCATCTGCCGCGGCTGGAGGTGTATTCATTATTAATGGAGGTAGTGGCGGTTGCTGCTCAGATATGCAGCCCTGCCTGGGTAAATGAGACATTCTTCAGCAAATTGCTTCGTTTTTTGATTGCTGATTGTACGCGTGTCACCAAGCTGACTCAAGGTTCATCGATGCATGCTCAGTAAATTAGAAAGAACATAACTATGGATCAACCAAGAGAATGAATTCTGTGCCTACAATGACCCAGGGCCATTTAATTTTCTGCTTAATTTTGTTGCAGTCAGTTTGCATTTTGGGTTATTATGCAGTAGGAAATTAACAATAAATAACAAATTTGGTCCTCCTGTGCTTGTAATGATATTTTTATAAATCTTTGTAATGCTGTTTTTAAAAGGATCAAGGTCTGTGCCAGTCTGATACTCCAGCAAGTATGCAGGGAGGAAATAAAGAGAAAAATACATTATTCTTCCCAGATAATCTTATAGTTAAATAGCAAAGGTTGGTGGTTTTTTTTTTTTTCCTTCCCCCTTCTTTCTCCTTCTGTGTGTGTGGGGAGGGTTTGTTTTGTTTGTTTGTTTGTTTGCTTTTTTCTTTTTTCTTTTTCTCTGTGTGTATGTGTGTGTTATTTTGCATTAACTTAAGCCTCTTCTTCTATTCTCAGATAACTTGAGGAAAATGGAAACAGATGAGGCTCAAGATATGTCCCAGGTTTCAGGTGAGGTCTTTAAAGAATACCTCTACAAAGAAAATCCTAAATTCCTGCTCATCTTTCTAGCAGAGTACCATGTTTTTCTTGTTCTCAATAAAATTGCTTTGGGTCTTTTTTAAAACCAGAGTGGGAATTGAGATATAATTAATGATATCAATTGATATCAAGCCCAACAGTGCATGGATTTTTTTAAAAGGAACTGGGTAAATAAAGAACTCAAGGGAATATAGAAGCATAGATGTAATTTTGCATTAAAACTGTGGTAGCGTATCCCTGAAGCATGGTCAGGTGCACATTTACACTCTTTCTTCTGGGAGCAAAATTCTGATTGTTACAAAATAAATATAGAAGTTCACCAGGTGGGAGGGGGCAAATACTAATTAAAAGCAACCAAACTATATTTACCACATAGGATTATTTGGCTTTTCCCAGAGCATTCAGTTGTACTTAGAAACATTTAAAAAAAGAAAGAAAAAAGGAAAGGAAAAAAAAAAAAAAGAAAAAAAAATAGATGTGAACCTTTATGATTGTATCTGATTTTGTCCAAGATTATAATCTTTTAAAAACTTTTAAACAGCACAGAAGTTAGGTTTCTGAAATTTGCCCTGTAGTGGCATGGATAGGATTTTGCAGTCTTACCCTGTATTGATATTCCTACGGGGGTGGGGGATAGGGTGTGTTATTCTAAACTTCCTTGAAAATTGGTCCCTCAAAAAAGTGGCTTAGCAAGATAATACGTGTTCATACCGTTGTGCCTCTGTCATTGAAAAAGGACAAGTTAGTCTCTTTCCTAGTTTCCCTAGTATACTGGCAGCTGCAACGGTTGCTGGCTTTCAGTTTTCACTTTTAGTGTTCATCCTGGAGCAGGGCAGCCCAGCCCCGCAGCAGGTGCCCAGGGAGGCAGCTCTGGGGCACTGCTGCCTCAGGACCCGGAGAGCAGCCACAGAACATTGTGAAGGTCTGGGTGCAGCGTGGGTGGCTAGGTCACTGGGTTTTCCTGAAATACACGAACACGATTTTATTTCTTTTTTTTTTTTTTTTTTTTTCTTTTTTTTTTCCCCCTCCTCCCTCTTATCTAAAAATGTTGAGTTTTCTCAAAAATTTAAACCCAGAACTTTTAGTGTCATCTGAAAATTGAAAATCAAAGACATTTTCTCTCTGACAGAACAACAATATAATAATCCTTCATGCCAACAGAAGATTACCAGTTATGTTTAGTATAGGAAAGTCATTCCTAGTCAGCCCTGCAGAGGCCTGTTGCACTCCTCTCCTCAAGTAACAATTTTTAAATTGTAACTGGTCGTACTTACACATCAGTGTTTTGTGGCATGCTGAAACAATTTGTAAATGAAATAAAACCTGTGCTATGCATGCCGTGCTTGGAGGCTGTGTGGCCCCAGCAGAAAGAGCAGTGGGGTTTTAATCCTTTACGCAGGCAAAGCACTGTGGTATCTGCTGGGAGCGGCGAGAGGCTCCGTGGCCCGAGCCCAGCTCCTCTGCCTGCTTGAGTGAGCTCCTGGGGCCAGGAGCGCTGGCCTCCTCTTCCTCTGCAGCACTGCAGGCTCCCCTGGACACCCACACCTAACCTTTGTGGTATTCTTTACAACAGTGTTAATTTGAGCTCCACACCTGCTACCTCTTACCAGAGCGTTGCTTTTTTTTTTTATTATTTTTTGCTTTTGACACAGAGGGGAGCAGTGTGGGAGATGCTGCCTTGAGTCAAGGAGCGGATGAGAAGGTCACATACTTAGACTTCCTTATGGTCTCCTCTCCCCTCGAGAGGGAAGATTTGCAAGAAGCTTTGCCATCCTAAATGTTTCTGTATATGTAAATATGTATATCTATGTATATCATTTGTAGCTCTCAAAGCTTTCCAGGATTTGCACCACTATAGTACTTTCCTGTGCCCTTTAGCTCTTCAGCAAATCATGCTGATGAGAATAGTATTCTTCTGTGATGAGAGAGGGTTCTCTTAAAATAAAAAGAAAAAAATCAGTGTGAAAGGAATTTTACCTCTGATAAGAGGTAGACTTACATAAACAGATTACACACACAAAAAAAAAATCTGCTTTAGACTCTTCCTGCTGTTCCTGTAGAGCATCTGGTACTTTCTGTGAGCAGAGGCTGTGAATTGTATTGGGTTGTTAGCTGGACTGGTGAACAACTGGCCAAAGAAAGAACTTTCTAATTAACTTTCATTTATGATCTGAGTTGTGTGTGAATTTAGCCTCCTGGAAATGGGATTTTGTCAGATTAGGTTCCACAGATATTGGCTCTTTGTAAGTTCTTGCTAGACCTCAAAAGTAGAGGATCTGAAGGTACAGGAATGTTACCTACTTCTTTGTCATAGGCTAGTGAACCCCAGAAAAGAGTTTTCCCCCTCTTCTCCTCCTTCTGGAGTTCTACATCCTTCTAGGATGTTTCTTTGCATGATGAGGGAGCTCTACTATATACTGGGAACCATTCAAACAATTGCACAGTTTCAGGAATGTGAGATTGTCTTGTCAGCTGAAAAACACTTTTATTTACTTCTCCTGCTCTGTGAGTAATGCTCGTCAGGTGGAGTTTACTCTCTGAGCCTATGGAACTAGGTGACTTGGTTCACTAGCACACTTGATTGTGTTTAAAAAAAAAATAAACTAAAAAATAAAATTAGTTTTATGGGGTTTCTTTGGGGTTTGGTGGGGGTTTTTTTGTTTGGTTTTTTTTTTTTTTTTTTTTAGCCCAGAAATGAAATAGGTCTATAAACAGGCTTCTGGGCTCCAAAGCAGTGTTTTGCAGCCATGTGCTTTATGCAGCTGTAGCTGACTCAGGTGTGGCAGGGGCAAGCCAGGCCAAGAGAGTATAAAACTAGCATGAGCGAGCCAAACCCTGCATGTCCACAGGCATTCCCTCTTCTGGGAATCCAGGTATGGCTGGCTCCTAGAGGAGCTGAAATACTGTATGACCAGAGCAGAGTTCACACTTTTTATTTTTCTCCTGAAAGTGGTATTTCATGAGGCAAGCAGTTGCAGTTCTGAAATGAGGAGAGAGCTGACATACATTTAACCAAATGGTATCCGGCACCCATACAAGAGACTCAGAAAACACAGATAATATCTCACTTAACAAGCAGTATTTTTCCTGCCTTTTTTTTCTTTCTTTCTTTTTTTTCTCAGTTCTAGGGCCTAACAGTTAAGGAAGGTGAAAAAAACAGTACAAATGTTTCCACATCTAACATAAAAAGATCCCCTAGCACCGACCAGGCTGTGCCACGCTCTGCAAAAGCAGGAAGAAGCATATTGCATTTGGTGTTCTTGCCAAGTCCTGGGAGAGTGGAAATGAGTGTATCCTGGGCTGGTATCTCCCACCTGAGATCCTGGCTCCTGTCCCAGAGTGGATCTCTTCTCATCACTGGAGGTTTAAGGTTCTACTAGTGAAAAGGAGATGTGAACTGGGTTCTGACTCTCATCCATAAAAATGTATATGTTGCTTTTCTTGCATAGCTTCTCCAGTGATTCTGTTGTTTCCATAGGAAACAACTCTCCAGTATTAAATACACCCAACATTACTATGGGAAAGGATAGAGAATGAGATTTCTGTAAGAAATCCTGCCCTAGCTTTCTTTTTAACAGTGGTAGCTCCAGCAACACCCTCCTGGCATGAACTGAATTGCTCTCAGAACTAAAAGGAGATGTTAAAGAAGCTTCAGACTTCAGACTTTGGTAGGAATAAAGGAAGCATAAAGCCTTACTGGGCTGGGCACTTTGTTCCCTTCTCTTTTCTCATGTCTTTAACTCTATTGCTAGGGCAAAGATAAGGAAACTCATGTAGAGAGAAGTTGAGGGTCTTACCAGGCACTGCTGATAGGTTAGGCACTTCTCTGACAACTTTCATATAGAAATGGCAGTGTTTGGAAATCTGAGACTATCTTTCAGAGCTTCGGGATGAACTGGGGGAATGTATGATACAGCCTGCTGTTGAAGTTACCTCCGTTTATGACTTAACAAAGGGCACTATAAATCAGTGGCAATACCAGAAAGAGAACTTCAACTCTACAGCTCCCTTGTCTTTTTCATCTGATATGTCAGGTGGCTCTTTATAAAAACTAAAAAAAAAAAAAAAAAAAAAAAAAAAAAATCCCCCCAAAAAAATCAAAAGGAAGACACACACACACACATACACCCCGCAAGATTAGATTGCATTGTTTATGCTTTGATTCTTATTTAATAATTTACCCCAGTACTTGCCAGTAGGTGCTGGGGTTTTTTTTAGCTCCATCTCTTAGACCAGTTATTGTTCCGGACATGCCTGCTAGAAATTAAATGGGAAACTCTTCACTTCTTTCCCCCATCCCCTTTCCTTTTCTAAATTCATTGGCAAAAGGATGTTAGTGAGATTGTGTATGTGTAAGATTACCATGCAGTAGTGAACTTATCATGGTGTAACAATTTTGATGTAGTTAAGATATGAAATACAAATACCATGCTCTAGAATCCAAAACATAGAGCTGAACAAATATAACTATTTTAAATCCACTATTTTTTACCCTGCCTTTTTGCATGCAGGGATTTCTTGATCATGTGTAACAGGAAGAAATGGAAATATAAGAAATGAGTCATTAAAGCCAAGTTTACTGAGTTTTCTTAACTGCAGTCTCCTGCAAAGAGGGAAGCATACTCCATCTCTGGCTTCTGCCCCACCAAGTCCAAGAGGCCAGTCTGATTCAGGCCACACAGGCAAACAGCTATTAATTTAACAAGTAGAAGTTTAGTATCTTTAGTGAACAAAACAGTTCACCACAAACTGTGAAAGTACTGATCTACTAACAGGTTTCTATTCCAAAAGAGTGCTTTGTCTTGCCTTCAAAGCATCCTACTTAGCCTGCTTGTTGTAGGATGCCTACACACTAAGAAAGTTTTGGTTTTGTTTGCTATCTGTTATCTCATAGGTCTGATATTTATGTTAGTTTGTAGCCCAAAAAGCCTTTGCGTTTTTAGGGTAAGTGTTCTTCTGAATCTAGACTCAGTCAAATCATCAACTTTCATTGTTGTAACTGGGAGCACAATTTGAATCTTTGAAGATGCAGGTGGCTTTTGGTTACTATTACTTTTTAACAAATTTCCTTAACCTACATGTAGTGTCAAGAGAGCTGATTCTGACCAGACTACCTCTTGCCCTCTGATTAAACTTCTGGCTTTTTGTTTTTATTTTGGGGGGGTGGGGAGGAAGTGTAGAAAAAGCTGAAATATTTCAGCTGTCTCTCCTCACCCATGCATCCTATCTGTAAGATATACCTCAGCTTGGCAGGATGGGACTTGCACTGGAAAGCCACTGGCAGTTCTTTAAGTTCCTTGCATCCCATAAAAATAGTGAAAAAAAAATACAGGAATAACTAAATAAGGAGCTAAACAGTGAATGGCAAAAACTGTTTCAATGAACTTCCTGCTTTTACTTTCCTCTGCTGTAAAATTCATAGTCCTTCTTTTCCACTTACACAATTCACCTTCATTCTTGCACTTGCATCCAGTGGGTATGATTTTGCCCATTTAGGAACACTGCAGAAGCTGGAGGTAGGGGTGACCTTATGAAATCATCTAGTCGTTCCCTCTGCCAGTGCAGGACTGCTCCTTCATTACTCTCAACTCCTCTGGCTGCAGTTTTACATGGTTCACCTGATGCCGCTCCCACCGCTCCTGCTTAGACATTTTTCCACAGTCTGATAGATGCATCATTAAGAAATGTGGTCACCCACTCATTTTGCTCATTTAAACCTAGATTTGTGCAAACAACCCAAACCAGCTAATTTGGAAGACGACCTAAACCTACCTGTCATTTCCCACCCCCCGTCACAATCAGTATAGATTGGAAAGCATGATGCTTTGTTCCATTCAGGAAGCTGGGAGGAAACTGTTTTCTTCTTTCAGGTCGAATTCATAGCTGTCATCACCAGACTGGTGTCACTTAAGTAAGCTATATTTGGTTTAATTTTTCCTTTTCCAAGAAGTGATTTCAGAATTAAGGAAAGTTTGTGTGTTAACGAGGGAATTCTCATTAGAAAAAAACCCACTAATTTGCTAGGCCTTTGTGCCATGAAATTATTGCCCTTACTGGTGTGCTGATTGACACAGGATGTCTAATAGATTGCATCAGTGTAAATTGTTAACATCTCCCTTTTGGAGACAAAGGTCTTATGTGAACATCACTGAGTTCAAATCCTGCTCTGGGCCTATTCCATTCTTTGCTATTAGTGCAAAGACCAGCTTTTTAGTAACAGTTGATGAAACTACTCACTTAGATAATTCTTTTGGTAGTTGTTCCAAGGCACGCTTTTGTTACAGATGTGTGAAGTCATTTTAAAAGAAGCTCTGCAAGACAGAGATAGTACTGTGGGCAGGGCATGTATGCTGTGACTGAGAGCTAAATCAAGAAACCTCACCGTTTCTGGAAGTGCAATACTTAGCAAGAGAGTTATTGTCCTTATTGTACTGCATTCAGCACTAAAACAGTTCAATAATACTTGTAACACATTAAAGCACTAGGCTGTTTTCTTCTGCAAAACCTTGTGTACACAAGATCCTGGGGTTTGTTTCCTCTTTACAAATAAGAGACTATAACACTCCTGAAGTCATGTTTTGACTGACCTCTGCTAATTGTACACATTTTAGGAAGTCCCTGGAGCTACCAGCACTTAATTATGTACGCAGAAGGACCAGCCAAAGCTTGATCTTTGGGTATTAGTGAAGCTTGCTGAAGACATAGTTGAATTTTTACTTGGAGATAAAATTTTATTTTTTTGGTAGTTCTGTTGGAGCCCCAGAATACTTGCGGGCTAGTCTTCACTATGTCATGGAAGCAAATCCGGATGTGCTTTCAAGGAGCATTTGTGGAAGAAAGAAGAGTTTTTACAGGAGATGACCATTTAATAACATTTGTAATCTGTTCGTCTATGTTGTCTAAACTGGATCTGCTGAGCATAGCAGCTGAAAAATATCCATGCATATTATAAATATCCAAAATGGTAAGACTGATAACTGTGTACCCAGACTTCAGCAAATTTGTGAGAGACATTGGCCATGCAACCTCTTCACAAATATAATTTCCCTGCATTCAAAAGAAGCTTTTTCTACAGGACAGCGGGTTTTGGTCTTAAGAATCTCATGCTTTTAGTAGTGTTTAGGTTTTTTGTTAAGTTTTATTTGGTTTGTGGTTCCTCTTACGGTAGTATTTGAAAATGAGGCTACTCTGATGACTAACTGATGCTACTTCCTTCGCTACTAGGAAAAGAAAGTCCTCCAATTAGTGATGTCCCAGATGATGCAGATGAACCTATGCCTGTACCAGAGGACCTTTCAACCAGTACTGGAGGCCAACAGAGCACTAAAAATGAGAGAATCTTGGGTAAGATGACTAGTCCACTCTGATAAGAAATATCAGTACATAATGTAATATGCCAATAAAGTTAAAGTACTCCTTATCAAGCTGGTATACAAGCAGGTCCTGTGCCCTTTTATCTTATTCAGCACAGGATTACTCAGGTGCTTAGTGTTTTTTGTGCAACCCTCTCTTTAGGAAAGGCATTTTGAAGGACAGCAAGCCTTTTCATCCACAGAGAAGTTATAAAGATCCTACTATTTATCTTAAAGCATGACTGATTGCATGAAACTCTCCCCAGGAAAGAATGTTTTAATTGTGCAAAGGAAATTGAATTAAATATGTGGTTCCGGGTCAAAATTATCTGAACTCGGATTTGATTAAAATTCTGTAAACTCTAAGGTATTTTTATTATTATTTTTATTATTAATTTGAATGCTATCTTGAATGTTATATGCTATTCAGATTTCTCCAGAAATGTCATACCAGAACATACACAGTAGTCATATCTTTCAGATTCCAACATCTGATCATAATTTACCCTTGATTTTTTTAACTGGGAGAACTTTAGAAAATACTTGAATTTTGTTCTTCTAGGTAGAAGTCCACAACTGATAATGTCTTTTGGATTAAAAGAAACTATTGTCCAGAGATGGTTTTGCAAAATGCTGATTCTTCTTAGAGATCACAGATTCCACACTAAGGACTAGCAATGCTGATGACTACTGCATGGACCAGCTCACATGTAGTCCACTAAAAAAGACTAGATGATATCACTTGAGCACAATGCTTGTTTACTAGTAGGAAAAAAAAAAAAAAAAAAAAAGCAGAAAAAAGCACAGTGACTCCTAGAATGCTATGCTCAATGCCCTATATGATAAATATATTTCAGGAGGGGAGTAACTATTAAAATATGTCTATTTGTTCACAAATAAAAGTATTGCTCATCATTTTTACATTCCCATCGTAAGAATGAGGGTCAGGATAGAAGACTCTTTACAGAAAGATTGCAAGTGCCTTTAAATGTTTATTGTTTAAGGAAGTTCAGTAAAGGACTGTAGGTGGAAAGGGAGGCACAGAAGGCAGAATATCCAAGTCAAGGTAATACAGCAGGATGGTGTCAATATTAGGAATAGACCCTGCTCCCAAACTCCACCACTAGCTAGAAGAGAATGCAGCATCTTATGCATCTTCACTTTATTTACCACTTGATCCCCTCTTACCAAAAATGTGAGCATAAAGTTCAGCTCAGAAATGCATAGTGGCATACCTTATAAACAAATTCATTTTTAAAAATTCTTTTTAATAATCTGATCATTTACCTAGTTAGTTTTTTCTATGCCCAAAGCTCTTTGGACAAAATCTTGCATTTATTGCTTGTGTATCAACTCAGTAAAATGACTTAAGTCTCTTTTCTCCCACAGTAACTAAACCCTACAAAATATTTAAGCCTTGATTTAAAAATAATATTTTTTAAAAAAATCCCTTGCTCAAACCCAAACAAACAAACAGGATTTCTGATTACATTGAATTTACCTCACCTCGCAAATATCATACAGGGCCAGCAAAATAAAATTTGTTTGCTGATGATGTAATGATTTTCCCAACAGTTCAATTACATATCAATATAAACACATATTAGAAGTTACTGTAGTAAAAGAAGGAGAAAATGTTATCTTTGGTGTCCTAAGTATGATAAGTTCCATCTGTTATTCTCATTAGTTTTACTCAGTGCACTCAGTAATAAATTAGATTTTCCACATCCTGACTTCAGCAATTTTTCTCAGCCACTTTCTCTACCCATAGCTCTTTGGTTTTGAAGGGTCACATCTTGTAGTGAGACATTTACCAGAGTCAACAGAAACAAAGGCAATTCACAGTACTCTGTTTTATAGATGATCTTAACTATAAGTATCAACTCCAGTGCTTGCAATGTTTGTCTTTTCTGTGAAGCTGCATACACTTTTACCTCTTCCTCTGCTCCTTTTTCTAGCCCTAAACTAACTTTTTGAAAACAGTGTACTGAAAAAATCAATGCTCCCTATTTTAAAAAAAATCGCCTGAACACACGCCACAAATATATCAGGAACTGTAGGGTTGCTATTCACATTCTGGATCATCATCAAAAGAAAATCTGTTAGGGATAAATCGATGCTTTAGGAGCAGTGTTTGGCCTACAAGGTCCCACACATGTATTAGGGATGAAGGGGACTGTCTTTCCATGTAGGCAATGGCATGTCAGTGTAGACAGGCTTGGTGTTCAATGCAACACTATAATCTCTAAGTCCTAAGATCTGTTTCTCACCTCTATTTATCACCAAACTTAGGTAGAAAAGGATGATCTAAAAAAGTAGTTTGAAGAACAGTAGATAGGCAGGAGAGTATTGTAAAGAACCACCGATATTATATATATCTCATAGCTGGGAGATAGACTGTGGCCTGTGATAACTGACAGGCAACACACATGAGCAAATATGACTGGGCAACAACTTTTCTCTGTATGACTTTCCTAATGTCCCATCTGCTTCCTTAGTCAAAAGGGAATCCCCTATGCACTTTGCTGTATTTCAACATGTGATTTACAGTGCATTCCACTCAATCTGTAATGCCCTGAGAGATCAGCTGTCCATATGGCATGCACTGAGGAAGGGTAATTTGAGTCAGACGTTATGGAGGAGGGCTGCTGGGCCCTGGAGGACTTTTTTGTACATGTAGTGTTATAGAGGTAACAACAGAAATTGCAGGTTTTTTAATTGAAAAGAGTAAGTATTTACATCATCTCACTAAAATTAGGTGAGAAATCTGTTGTGAATTTTAATCAGACCGTGAGATAGAAATGTTCAAATGACTGTTTGCTTACTCAGATTTGGAGTAACCCTTGATGAAACCTTTAAGCCTGCAGTCAAAAGTTTAATTACCTTTTTCATCAATTTAGCATTTTAAAAGTCAAAGATTAGGGGAAATTAGCTATTTTTAGAAAAGAAAGATAGGCTCTAGTTCCTCCGCATGTTTTCAAAAATCTCCTTTCTTGCTTCTTCCAACCCTAGGCTGAGACTTGAATGTGAATTTGGTGTATAGACCTGATAGAGAGAACCATTTGAAACAGCTCTCCTGCCCAGAGAATGAAGGTGTTGTAGACTTCAGAAGTTAAAGTACTCAATTCACTTGCCAGATTTTATTGGGTGCCTTCAGATTTTGAATGTCTCACTTAAAGCTACTAGAGAGGGTGCAGATTTCATAAGGGAGATGTCCAGAGGTTCATGAAATGCATACTTTGACTTGTGTCCCAACAGAGGCACCCAAGACATGGGTTGCTTCTGACCAATGCAAAACTAAGTGGGTGTGAAAAGGTCATTTCTGGAAGTGAAGTCACCAACAATAATAACCCCCAAGCAGCACAACAAAGGAGGAACATATTAAAAGGCATGTTCCAGCCACTGCTATGTCTCTTAATTTCCTTGATGAGCTTGCTATGTTTTTAATGTTGTAACTCCCAGAATGCCACTATGTGTTGAGCAGCTTCCTCCTGCAAATTTCACTGCTGCTGCTCTGTCCCCCAGACCTTCTTCCTACATTGTCCTCTTCTCTGCCTCATATTTAATTCTCAGGCTGATCTGGAACCTGTAACTTTTTTATTATTTTATTTTTTTACTCTGCTCAGCCACCTGTACTACGTTTAGTTTTTCTAGAAAACAAACTCCACTTTCTCAGTCAAGCAAAGAGCTAGATTTTCACAGCTCTTTAAGGCATTAGAGACTCTGTTTTACCACCTCTCCTAAATACCCTTTTGAAATTTTGATCTAAGGTATTTAGAAGCACACATCCCACCAAAATTCCATTCCATTAAGAATTAGTGTTTTGCAGCCTACTTTGGATGGGCAGCCCTATTTCCCATGCTAACCTACAACATAGGAGCTGATATGAAATATCTTCTGCTGATTCTTACTGTCTCATTTCAAGCTTCAGGTTAAATGTTGCATGTACCTTTTGTGGATAGTCAGTGCTGAGCATCCTGTACGTGGTAGATGGTTGCAGTTTAGGGATCTTTCTGCTCTGGAACTGCATTCTAATTCAAGCTATGTGTGGGAAGCTAATGACTCAGTGAGCTCTAGATTAGACCCTACTTCATGCAGAAAGAGCCATTTGCTGCAGTGGTAGCATTTGCCTAGAAAGGCAAGTGGTACCTTCCTTTATCCATAACTGACCATACTGTAGCTGGCCATCCATGGGTAAAAGTCAAAAAGCCATCTCACAGTGTTACTGGCCTCAGAAAGAGGCTGTGGGCTCACCATTTCTGCACAGGCAGCTGTCTGGTGCTGAAGATGACCATTTAGACTTTCAACACAGAAACCAAGGGTTTCTCACTGAAAAAAGTACTCACCACTGTAGTCACAGGCTACAGTCTGGACCTGGAATATATAATGCGTAGAGGTATTCTTCATTCTGAGAGGAAGAGTTGGCAGGAACTAATCCCACAAAATTTGTTTGAAACTGCTGGACAACTGACAGAAGATACCCAAAGCAACAAATCAAGGTGATCCTAGATATCAATAGAAGGCAGATGAGATCTATATGAAGTTAGAAACTCTCTATTTGTTTAAAATGAAGGATACTAGAATGGGAAGAGACGTTAAAAGGAAAGAGCTTTTTGACATTTTTCTCCTTCAGTGGGAAATGTCAAGTGACTGATGTTACCTCCCGCCCACAACCCAGTTACAGGAGCAGAAGCCTGTGTAGCTGCAGAGCCTCAGTGCCTGGCATCACTGGGAACGTGGCAGGGCCTTCGCATCCTGGGGTCCCCCCTCCCAGCCACGGGCATTCAGAGGTGGTAACCTGCATGAGTAGCTGGTTACTGGTGCAGGCAAGTGTCCTCACTCTGAGCTGCTTCAGTGCTTTATTTCCTTAAAAGGAGCTCAGCCATTTGAGAGCATGGACACGAGCATTGCAGAGGGGCCACCAGGCCAACCACAACAGCTTGCCATTACATAAATCTGCTGCAACTCACACATAGCTGGGTGGAGGCAGAG